ACGCTAACTTGAGTGAGAGGGTTTCACTACAGTTTTAATCGAACGTAGGTAATCTGCCTGGTCTTTGTGGCACAAAAATGGCCATATTCTTAGAAAGAGGCACCAGAAAACTTTTTTTTCACTGAATTTTAGGGAAATCAATGTTTGCTCTGATCCACTTCCCCATCCCCAAAAAGCACCATTATGAAAACTCTTCCCTTCTAATCCTTCAGTCATGGATATGCAACAGCATCCCCAAACAAATATTTCCCAACATTTCACTCACTATATTGTTAGAGAGTTTGTTCTCTAATCTAGTTCCAATCTTTCTCACTGCCCTGTAAATCCATTACTCCTTAGCCTATCTACCCTGTCTTCTCTGCAGCAGCCTCTTATGTGACTGAAGACTTCTGTCTTCCCTCAGCTGTCTCCTGAGACTAAGCAATTCTAGTTTTTCAGTCTTTCCCTCATAGGTTTTGTAAATTACTGATATTTATCACTGCTCTCCTATATTACCAAAGGAAGAAAAAAATCCCTTTTAAAAGTTTTCTGAGCTCTTTAAAGAAGCCCAAAGCCAAGTATATCTAGTAGTAGGAAAAATAAAAAGATAATGAAGTGCCCTTAGACTGGAGGAAACCCAGAGAATAAAAGCTTGCCATCACCACATACAACTTCCCTTCTACACCAGCCAACAGTGGGTTTCTCCTGCACAAGTTACCTTTTCCTGTGTCTTTGCTTGCTGCCACAGCTGTTGAATCAGCATTTATTATATCAAGGAAGAAGTCAGCTGGATTGTTGAAGGGTTCACATTCATATCCTTAAAAAAAACCCAAAAAACACACATGCAACATGTTTGTATTGTACAGAGCGCAGCTTGGAAGGTCAGGTCTAATACTATATCACTCTTCCACAACCCTGTTACAAGAAAACCTCACTGCTTTCCACGAGCATTAGTTTACAGCAGTAGAATGGACAGGATTTAGGAGATGGTGAATCTGAGGTATCTATACAGAGCTTCAAAGTTATTCTCCACTGATTTCAGGTGAGAACAAATCTATAACTTCCTTCTACACAGCTCAGCATGGACAACTCTTGCCTCCTTCCCAGTGCTGTTCAACCACATCCCACTCTGAAGGACACAGTTCCTCAGCAGAGGTTGCTGGATATCTCCTCTACAGCCTCAGATGCTTGCTCTAGAAGCTCAACTCTTGCTTGTGTTTTCTTGGTCACAAGGAAGAAGAAGGACTGTACAAGAGCGGATTCTTATAATATGGTTCTAGCTATGGGATGAGGAGGAAAGGAAAAAAAAAAAAAAAAAGCAAGGATGCTTATTGTATACCATTCCTGGGAGAAAGGAAGTGAGGTGGGATACTAAGAGGAGGAATACAAGTAGTGACATTGGTTAAAACATCTCCCTTAAAGCCAGGGAAAGCTTACAATCCAATGTGTCCATGGCTGCATCTAGACTAGATTGGAAATTCACTCCACATCTCTGTCCTTTATAGTCAGAAACCCTTACCCTGTTTACTTGGAGACAGGGCAGCCACCCAACAGTGCAATTATTAACCCATCTTAAGACACACCATGATTTTGTTCTCTCAGTCGCCCACCTGCATTCAGACTAGAGCAGATTCTTGGATCAGCCCCTACAGATTGCTGCCAATCTGCAGGCTGTGGTTCGAAACCCACCGGGTCTGCCACCTAGGTCTGGCAGATCTACAAGCATCATCTTGTCTGTTGTGCATCATGCTTCTAAATGCCCAAGCGATTCTGGGTTTTTGTCCTGATGCAAGGCAAAACAAAGGCAGGAGAGAGCCATGCTCTGTGTTGTCTGGAAAATTTCATTTTTATCATTTTGATTTTTTCCTGTTCTAACATAACACTGTTCAAACTGTGTATACAGCCTCTACTATCCTAGGATATGCCCGAAACCAGGACACAGCACAGGACTGTTATCCACTGCTAGGGTAAGAATCTACCCACAGATTAAACTTATTAGCCAGTTGCCTTTGCTCTTGGCACAGAAGACTTACCAATAGAACTAAAGTACTCCAGGGCCTGCTTTGCAGGACCGTGGTACAGCACCTTTCCCAAAGCTAGTAATGTCAGACTGTCAAACAGCTTGAATATGGAATAGCGGGGCTGATGGATGGAAAATATGATGGTTCGCCCTCTTCTTGAGAGCCTGAAATAGAAACAAAACATCTCTCAAATACACCACACTTTGCATTTCAGAAAGGTCACGTTAACCCAAGCAAAAAATAAGTATCCAAATCCAAGACAAATACTTGTCAACTTCTCGACCCAGAAAAGCTGTAGTTCCCCCTTCTCTGTCACTGTGTCAGATGCTGCCTGCAAGATCTTCAAGACAGCACCCATCATTACAAGAGACCGTCGTTGCAGTCCAGGTAGATAAAGTACGATGTTGTCTGTAGCTAGCAAAGGTTGAGGCCATAGCTGTGTATAAACCCTCTGTACACGTTTTCTACACCAGGCTTCAACCTGACTAACTGGAACAGTCCTATGCACTCAATGGCAGTACCAGGCTTTACATAGCAGGCTGTGGAAGTCTGGCCAGCTCAGATTTCTCTTAGCTCTTCTGCTGGAGATTTACTCTCTAGAAAAGTCAAAACTAGTTTTCCTTCAGGTTTGTCAAACGCTCTTTCAAGTGCTTTAGCACTGACGCCCAACAAGTATCCTTGCCGATCAAAGACCTCTATCCACAAACAGCAGAGCAAAACCAGACAACATGGTGGTTTTGTTGCCCCAAGCAAAACCAGACAACATGCTACAAACCCAGGAGGAAGGTTAGGAAGTCGTTCTCATTAAATAAGCCTTGTTTGATCCTCTTTGTACCAGAAGACAGTTCATCCCCAAAACATAGGGGGCACTGAGGGTAAACCTGCAGGTGAAGTCTGATCTGAGTTCAAAGCTGTTGCCAGAGTGGAGGAAGAGACTTTGTAATAGACTCAGCTGGAAGGCCAAGAAATTATGATTACAAGGTCTGACCTCCCAGTCCACCCCTCTCTGTGGCAAAAGGAAGCTGTCCAAGCTACATCTGCTTTTTGGGCTCCAATCCAATGCTTGCTGTGGAAGGATTCCCATCAACTTCAAAAGGCTTTGGATAAGACCCAAATAAAGAGTTTACTACCACTTCTGAGTTTTTTTTAAAAAAAAAAAAAAAAAAAAAAAAAAGCAGCACTGTAGCTACTCAGTCATAACAGCATTTCTTTTTTTACTAATGAGCTGACAACAAAATTGCAGCAGAGCCCTGAAGGACTGACTCTTACTTCTTCAAGAGGAAGAGGACTGCATTGGCTGTGCTGGCATCAAGGCCAGTTGTTGGCTCATCCAGAAAAAGGACTGGTGGCTCTGTGATGAGCTCCATCCCAATGTTGGTTCTCTTCCGTTCCCCTCCAGACACTCCCCGGATCAACTCGGTTCCTACCTACAAGCAGAAGAAATCAAGTATTTGCAACAAGACCTGGTCAGTGCATACTCTGGAGTTCAGGGCTCTCCACACCCAGCAGCCCTTTCCATTTTCAAAGTCCCATCAGTGAACTCTAAAGCCAGTAGCAGAGGATGGGTCTGACCCATTGGGAGGGACTGTGTAGCAGTAAGCAGAACCTGATTTTCAGAGGTGCCAGGCACCTTATGACTTCAGGGAACAAGGATGACACTGATGAGGAAGAGCCAGAATGAGGCCACAGCAGGCAGAGGTGGCATTGGTGTTCAGGGATGCCTTTTGCTGGTAGCTCACCTGCTGATCAAGAGTGGGGTAAGTAAAGTAAAAGTAAAGTAAGAGTAAAAATGCTGCTGGGAGGAACAAGCTCTGCACAGAACTTCTCCATCACAGCCCAGCTTTCCATCCGTCACAGCTTTCAGCACTGTAAAAACAATTTCCCTGTCTTGTCCCACAAAGCCAGGAAGTGACTGAGCAGCTTTCCAAGGTGCTATGACTAGGCAACTTTTTCCCCTCTGAACTTATACAACATGCTGAACATGGTCCAAAATCTTCCCCTTTTAGTAGCAAATACACATACCTCTTTCCAAGCTACCTCCTGAGCAGGAGACTGATTTCTTGTGTGCAGTATGATTTAGTCAGGTTCCTGCTTAGCTTAGTCTAGCTGCGCTATGCACGCCATACTGCGCAGAGTCAAGTCGTTCAGTTTCCAGAGGTAGAATGACTTCTGAAAAAGGTATTCTCGCTGCTCACCTTAGCATCAGCCACTTTGCTTAATCCCAGCTCGCTGATTATCTGGGTGACTCGCTCTTCCTTCTCTTTAATGCTGATGGAGCTGGGGAGTCGCAGGGCAGCAGAGAAGTGCAGGTTCTCCCTCACCGTCATTGTGCCCATTACAACATCATCCTGAAAGCAGTACAAATGGACAGTTGGAAAGCCTCCTTCTCAGCTACCTGACTGGGCACCAGAGTCCCTGTAGTGGCAGTTACTGGATAAGCTGTTTGTGGACCTCAGTGGAAACTGCTTCAAAACTTACATGACACAAAATTCAAGGTCACTCAGTAGCAGTCAATGGGAGAATGCAGCTCTGCAGGCACCCAGCCTACACCAAGCACCACCTCAGCCTGCTTTCAGGCTCAGGAGTTCAAGTGCAGACGGTACCATTTTGTACTGCACGTGCATTTTCCTTACCAGCTAAAGGGAGGCAGAGCAGGTAGCTGGTTTTGTAAAGAGTTAAACTTCTGCCAGTCCAGCTGAAGCCAAGGGACATTGGTAGTGCTCGGTGTTCAAGGTAAAGACACTCAGGGAACCACCCAAGTCAGCTCTCTTCCCGGTTACAAGCCATATCTTGCTGTGGTCCAGAGCACCTGCTGAGTTCAGCTGCCAACAAGGTGCTCTCCCCAGCTCCTCACTGGCAGCAGCTCCTCAGAGAAACAAGAGTGTTGCACCGAGATGCTCCTGATTTTTTTCCATGTCTCAACTATCTATAACTCCTGGGCACAGACCTTATTCTAAGGGCTACACCTTTAGAAAAGCTTCAACAGTCATGTGCATTTTGAGTAAGAATCAAATCTATCCAATTGACAAACATCTGGGCAGCCTACACCAACCTGTAACAACCATGAGCCAAACAGAGCTGACGTCAGATCCATCCAGAGCTCCATGCCTCTCCATCACCCCTGCTTTGATATTCGAGCCAATTCTGCACCCCACCATATGATGGGAGAAGCAACACTGGGCAGCTGCTGAGAAACATGCCTGTTAATCAAGCACCTTTCAAATCTAGTGCCCTTTTGGAAGACACGGCCCCTAAGCTGCAGGGCAGCGGATTCTTGCCTGCTTTGGGACTCGTTCCACACCAGACGTAGTTGATCAGCAGCACAAAGGGTGTGCCAGCCAACCATGTTTTGCACTGGAGTTAACAGAGGAAGACTGAACGTGCTGCTGTGCTAGAAGTATGTGACAGTTTACTCAGGGTGTAGTGTTATGATAAACTGGCTTTGCTGCCAAAGCTGGTTTAGGAATTTCCTACCATCACTTCCCTCCCCACACACCCTCAGTCTCTCACCCTAGCCTCTCATTCCCCATCCTCAGATCCACCAGTACAACTGTTGTGTCACCACACTGGAAACTAAACTTCGAATTTAAGCTACCTTAATACCAAATGTAACAAACTGTGGCATAACATCCTCACTTGCAAGGCATAAGTGGAGAGACCACTAGCAGTTTTATAGGGATAACACATGACTTAGCACATCTATATGCTCATCTGCATAAAACTGACCCTATAAGTATGTATGTATTTATGTATTTAGGCCTTAAGTGTTGTTCATAGTCTTTGGGCCTTCTTCATTGATCTAGGGAGTACTGCATAGGGGTTGGAGGGGAGAGAGACCATTTAATGTCTCACCTAGTGGCCTATCATTCTAAAGTTAAGTTTGGTTGCTTTGGACATTTGAGAGACAAATGTCTTAAACTGGGACCACTTGCCAGAAACTTCCTGGCCACTCATGAAACACTGAGGATTTGGGGATCTTTGACCTGCAGGATCAAGACACAGCATCAGTCACATGCATTCTCCTAGAGCCCCCCAGCTGGCAGCTTTCAGAAAAGCTGCGTATTTCACGTCTGCCTGCAGTCAGAAGCCTGGATGGTTTCCAGATTCGGCTGCTCATATGGCTGCCAAGAATCCCCTTTTCCTCAGCTCCCCCAGGGCTTTGAGGGTCCAGGCCTCCACCCACTTCCGCAGATTCAGCCGGCTTTTCCTGTCTCCGGGTGGAACGAAGCTCTGTCCCAGCCAGCCAGAATCAGAGGAAGAACAGCAGGGATCTATTTACTTCCTAGAATTATTGTCTGATAGCTTGAAGGTACTTCTGCCAGCTAGAACTGCTTCTGATTTTTACAAGAGATTTTGGGTGTTGTGGGTTTTTTCCTCACCTTTTTATTTTTTTGTAAACCCTTGCTAGTACTTCAGGGCAGAGCCCAAAGAACAAGCCACAGTAGCCCAGTGGTTTGGGCATCCATGTGGCTTTGGGAAGACAAACGGTTTGATCCTCTTGTCTTCCATATCCCAGAAAAATACTAAATACTGTAACATCTGAGTTATCAAATAAGAACTCTGTAGGGATCATTGAAAATTACCTAACCTAGTAGCTCATGCTTTGCTCATCTTATGCGGTCTTCCCTCCCAAGGGCTCCCAGGCCTCCACTGAAGGCAGTTACTCACCTGCACAACATATCCTGAGATGCACTTGAAATTTGGAGGTTGTGGGATGCCATCTATAAGCACTTCTCCAGACAGGCCTGCTGGGTCCTTTCTGGCAGCCAGCACATCTAGGAGACTTCAGACAAACACCAGGCATTAGGTTTTGCCGTAACAGCTGCTTTTCCCTTTGACTGGACAAGTTCCCCCAGTCAGGACTGCAGTTACAGCCTGCTCACGGCATGCTGCAAACCAAAGGGCACAGAAAGGGGCTTCCTCTACTCTGGCGGCTTTAGCTCTTTGTACAGAAAGCTCTGTGTAGATACAGGTTTTCCCAGCACAAGGTGTGCCACAGCAGTATGGTAGTGTACAGACCCTCACAATTCACAGCAGCCAACCCCCTACAGACATAAACTCAGTCTCTGTATTAACAGCTAACCTCAAACGCACACAGACAGAAGCACCCTGCCGAGCAGTCCGCTCTCCAGCCAGGGGAGCATAGAAGTAACTACTTTGATCAAGGAAATTAATCCAAATGGGTATAAACAAGACTAGAGTTAAGATTAATTCTATAAAGTAATTTTGTTTTAACGTATCACTGGACTCTCCTTACTGCCAATGCCGAGGCCAGCCTGTCTGCTAGTTAAGTAAACACCGCCCTGATGAAGCGCTTGCTCTTGAAAACATCCTGATTAGCAAGCAGTCTCCTTAGAAGGGGAAATCAAGGGTCACCACAAAGACACACCTGTGTGAACAATGGCCGTATTCGCCAGTCTCTGACATTCTCAAAGGCAGAAAGTGACAATGGGCTCTCTTACCATGGTTATACAGTAGAGAAAACAGCATCAGCACTGCCTGGAGATAGTCTGCATAGTATTTCTCTGTGCTTGCATCCAAAGAATTCAAGCACATGTGCACCCTCACCACCAGGCCACAGCCAAGTTGGGGTGAGGATCCAAAGCATCCCACAGACTGACATTACACCATATTCCTGTCAGTCGTCAGAGAGGGGTTTGGCCTAGCATCTTCAAGGAAGTCTTGCTGCAGTAACTTCACAGGGTACAACATCCCTCCTGCCCCCAAAGGAGCTTGCCCCGCTCCCCACCCCATGGCAGGTCTAGGACAGAACCTACACCTGAGCTCCAGTCACCCCAGTTCAGCCTGGTATCTTAACTCAGGCCACCACCAAAGGTGACTGCAGTAATACAGACCACCAATTGGAGCAGATGAGGAACGTGACATCGCTGCAGGGCAAGAACTCCAGCAAAGCCGACAGCAGAGGACCACGAGGTCAGACTCCATCACCAGATTTCTCACAGGCATACAAAGGTCTGAGCCTGCAGATCCCTCACATCCTTCCCCAACCCTCAGAGTCCCAAATCCTTTTTGCACAGCTGACTGTCCATTTGAAGGAGCAGAAGAAAGTACTCACGAAGATTTACCGCTCCCTGTTGGCCCCAGGATAGCATTCAAGCCTGGCTTCATAATGCCACTGGAAGAAGGAAAGAGTTATTTCCAAATGGAGGACTGTTCACATGCAGCTCATAGCAGAGGTAAGGTGTGAACAAAATGCTGTTGAAAGGAAAACTTAGAGATTATTAAAAACGTCTCCTTATATCTGAAGTCAATAAGCATTTTTCCTTTCTTGTCCCAGACTGCCAGTCAGAACAGAACCAGAGCTGGACATAAAAAGCAGTCTGCAAAAGACAGAAATTAAGTGTCTTCCCTGCTGAGCTGGGTCTTGAAAAGAATAAGCAACTGCTCTCTGCTGCTCATTTCCTCCCACCACAGCTTGAACCATAGTTAAGGGAACCCTCAGATCTTCTGGCAGAAGAATTCACACAAGTTTGATCCTAATTTGCTCAGATCAATAACTGAAACTGCTCCAGCTATATCCCGGCTATTTTGCCTAAAAGCAAATTAGAAAGTGCTCACATGAACTGCAGACTGGCAGGAGGATAGTCACTTCTTTACCAGCACAGCTGGATCTGGAAGGTGACATTGGGGTCACCAATTCACAGTAGCAGATTAATTCCTACCCTCTGATATTTTATTTAAGCAAGAACTTACTAAACATTATGAAGGATCTTCTTTTCCACAGTTTTCCGTTTACATAGGAATCCACTGGACTGCTTAACGGAGTACTGGATGTTATGGAAACTCACAACAGAGCCCCGAGGGGATCGGAGTGACTCTTGTGTTGGAAGAGAACGTTGGAAATTGCCCGCTCCTTCCTCTTCTCCAACAGAAATAATGCTGTGATCAAATGTGTCTGCCATCATGTCCTTGTTACACAGGTCAAGCTCCACTGCATGGAGTTTTTTGAGGTCACTGTTGTTTTGAGCAGTTCCCATCTGTTGAGACAAAGAACACAAAAATATGCAGGGAAGGAGACACGCAAGCAAAGATTTCTGCAGAAAGTGTCTTGGAAAAGCAAGTTCACACACACCACACCAATCCTTACACGTGCCAAGTTTCCAAAAGGATGGACATCTGCACTGGAAGACATCCAGTAGTACCCAAAGGCACAGAAACCCACAGATTTAGAACAATACACATAGCCTTTAAGAACGAGACATGTATGTTCTTGCAGTGATGAACTCAAAGAACATCTAATGCGGTGAAAACCAAGCCCATCTGTGATGGTCACCATCTTGCTCAACACACCGGGGACCACAAATGCAAGCTGCTACCGCTTAAGCTAGAGACTCAGGCTCCCCTCCGTCAGGTATAACATGCTTACCTCCCCTCACACCCCCACAGAGCCAGCAGAGAAACCTGTTGATGAACCTGTATGAAGAACCACAAGAAGAGAAACAGTTGTGCTTATGAAAATGAAGGCCAGTCACATGCACCTTGTTTGCTGGCACAAGTTTGTTTCAGAGATACCACTGTGATTAAAATAGCAATTACACATGTTGCTTCTCATGTTTCAGTCACACCGGTATCAAGAAACTTCACAACTACAAATAGGAAGAGAAATTTGGATCTGTAGTGTAAGCACCATTTACCCTGAAGAACAGTAGGAGTTCCCCCTCCCACAGGGAGACATCTGGGACATCCCACAGTAAGGAAAAACATGGCAAAAACCGGTACATTAAGGAAAATTAAATATGGTATCTATTTGTAATGACAAAGTTATAAAGCATTCTTGTTCAAGCAGATAAGCTGCCTCTGTAGCTCAGGACAGGAGCACCTGAAAGGGAGGACATGTGAACAGCAAAGGGAAGGAACTGTTCTCCCTGTCCATGCATCGGGGCCTATGTAGTAGGAAATATATCAATATGGGTATAACTATTAATACTGATTTACTTATTAGTCACAGCAGCAGAGTTCTTTTATCAAGGGGCTACTTCCCTTTCTGTTGCTGTAACTGATGGAGATGAAGTTTGGATCCCTTCACTCATTAAAAAAAAAGAAAAAGTTTAAAGTTCTTGCCTTGACGTTGCATGTGAAGAACTTGGAAACCCTGCAGTCCCCAAGTTCTGCAGCCTGTGCAAGGCCTGGGCATAACTTATACCCTGCCTTTTAGCCAGGTGCCCTCGCAGCCGTAAACCTTCCTGTCCCCCTTCCAGGGAACTACAGCAAGGAAGAGAAGAATTACTTCATGGCCCTTCCAGAAACTGGACACAACAGGTTAGACTAATCATTTACTTCCCTTCTAGCTGCTGGCATGACGGTGTTTGTTGGAAACCTAGAAATTTACTGTGATGTTGCATAAAGCCAAGGCAGTCACCAGGCTAACTAAGAGAGCAAGGAGAGAGAACTGTCCACAAAGACATCCATTGCTCGTTACTTGAGTTTTGCAGGAAGGTAGATGTATCCCACCAATCACCCTTTTCCCACCATCTGCACTTCTTTCCTCCCAGGACTGGGAGGGTGATAACCAGTAGGACCAACAATATCCACCACTGCAGAAGTAGTGGATTTCTCAGGGAGAGGGATGGTCATACTTTTAAGAAACTGGAACTACTAGAGCCAGATTTAAAGAAACAGGAATTGTCCTTTCCTCTCTGCCTCTTCCTATCACTTAAAGCTCAAGAAGTTGCACTAGTTTTTTCTCCCGTATAAGTAAAATAAAGGCGGTGGGGAGAAGGAAGGGTTGTTTAGCTTGGACACATCCTGAACTCTAAGGCTGGTCACCCCTGAGAAAGCCTTGCTTATGGGAAACAAGAAAGATTATGCTGGTTACATCAGCAAGGAAAGGCTTATATGCTTGAAAGGTTGCACAACAGATCAGAAGAAAAAAAAGTCAGGATGACAGTGACACCAGGGACAAAGACCTGGTTAGACTTTTGAACATTTGACTGTCTTGTATACCTGACATCTGTTCTGGATAGGTTCTGTAGTTTATTACACCGTGAACCATTTTACACACAGGTTTTTGCAAAGCTACTGATTAGCACTGGCAAGATAAACCACTGCTGCGGGTATGTGCAAGGATGACAGGAGGATGAGAAAAGCTTAGCAGAGGCTACAGGTAGGACCAGGCAGCAGCAGCACCTCACAAGCAGTGCCCCTCCAGCCTCCCACCCTCGCCCCACGGGCCGGTTCCGCTACTAAGCCGGAGCCGCGAACC